ATTTACTCGTGTTAATGTAGCATAATGGCAGCAGGCAGCAGGTTTTACTATCCTGCCTAAATTCTGGATGCCCCAGGGTGAAAAAGAAGAGGATAAAAAAGGAAAATAAAATGAAATAAAAAAAAAAGAGGAATCAATAATTTATTCTGTAAGTGCCAACTTGTTTGTAAATACAATATAATCCTCCAATTTGACTTTGTAAGTTATGGTAAACAAATGCTATGGAAATGAGTGACTATTAAACATGTCAGTGAAGCGCACCATGAAAAAGAGAAGAAAACGTGTGTGGGCTCACACACTAACACACATACACACAGAGAAACACATGCTGGACAAGGAAAAATATCAAAGCCAATTAAGCGTTGGCCTTCTTGTAGGAAGCCATATTGCAGCTAGCGTGTTGACTGCTGTTTTGTTTTCTCTCTGCAGTGCTCATGTAGCGTGCAAAGATAAAGAGGGAATATAAGAACTTGGAGATGCTGTAATCAGTTGAATATTTCCTAACTGTAGGAACTGATTTCCCAGATAAGATTGTGGCTTAGGGTTGTGATTTAGCATAAACCATGTAGCATTGTGAAAGAGATAACAGATGACCTGGAACCAACTCTTTGACAGGTTTGTTGTTTGGCTGTATGGATCTGTTGAGGTTTCGCCCTTAACTTTTCATTTACAGTTCACAAGTAACCTGGCTTGTTACCCTAACCGGGGTGTTGTAATGTGGGACACATTGGAGTTACTTCTCTTGCATTTTGGGTGCATGTCAAAAAATTTTCCAGAACTCTGTTATCCCTTGGAATGAGAAAATAGTCCTCTAAATACAGCGTAATAACTGGTATTTGAAAGTAAAGCCTGGCAGCGGAGGTTAAAAGTTAATCACTGAATCCTGTGCACTGGGAGACTGGATACATATATATATTTTTACCAATCTCTGACAAGCATACAAGGTGACATTGTTAGACAAGTATATTTAATTGAAGGTTTATACAAGAAATCATACCTATTCAATGTACTTAGATATATTATAGATTGTATATTGAGACAATGTCATTATCAATATAGTAAAACTTTCCATAGACCAACAGCATCCCACTTCAAGCAAGGATTAATATGAGTAAGTTGTAGTCAAACATCTCAGCCTGTGTGTTCAGGACACTTTTGTTTTGGTTGTAGTGTAACTGTATATATTGAATATGTGCCATAATAGAGAAATACATTTTACCTCAAAAGAGCAACAGGTTTTGCTAGGGATTGGGTAAATCAGCTGAAATGCAGGGGCTGTGTAATTTTTGTTGTGTGCTGGTTGATGTGTGTGCAGCCTGTTGTATGCTGAGGCAAGAATGTCATTTCTTATTAGGACTTAACTCTGCAATCAGAGTGAGAAGACGCAGGGTGCCCACCAAGACATCTGAATAGTTAGAGGCATGGTAAGAACATGTCTGGGCAACGCAGGGATTAGTTCAGAATACACTGACCACAGCGGAGGAGATAGATAGCTCACAGCAACCCTGCCTCCCCAGCGCCAGAGTTTAGAGAATTGCTTCTGTCACTTCAGTGATCACTGACGTTTCAAAGTCACCGGTCGTAGGTCACCTCTCCTTGCCCAGGACGATTGCAGCTCCAAGATTTTGTAGGCTGGGATGAATTAAGAGAGAGCGGAGCGTGAAATCTTGGAAGTGTGTCGTCTCAGGGTATAGCTGTAAGTCCTGTGTCGGCAGCTTTGGCGTTTCTCAGGGCTGAGAAAACGCTGTCGCTTCCAGCATCGCCCTTGATTAGCCCAGGCAGCACACAGATAAAGCTTTCCTACTTCGCCGTTCATTAGCAGCGCTGATAAATAGGGTATGCCTCAACACGCGACCGCATTGCAGGAACTTGTCTGAAACAAGTCATCGCCTTTCCGCTCTCCTGATTCTGTTTTCATGAGACATGTTATGAAACGCAAAGAGAAAAGATACAGAGCCTGAAGGTCTTTTCAGTCTGTCATACAAGTTTTCAGTAGTAGAAACTGTTGTAATGCTACTTCTGTGGTTTGAGAGACTTGAAAAATGGATGAATTCTTATATGCTATTTTATTCAGTCCTATTTTTGACATACCTTGTAAATGGTAATGTCATGCTGGATAATGATAGGTGAGGTGTATTTCTAGGGTTTGCATAAGTGCCATATTTGAATATATGCTATAAATGCCCATACTTACGGTAAGTGGAATAGTATATTGCCATTGATCTGATTTTAAAACCTTATCAGATAAAACTCTAACATCAGTAGACGTTTTCTCCTTGTAAGGGCTTCAGGATTTAGTCAGTATTCCATATGTATGCAAACTGTGATACAGTGACGATCAAAATCTTCATGGATGCTTTTGGATACATGGGTCAAACCTTGGTGTAAACCAGCACAATGCTGATTTTAGAGCACACCAGCTCTCTGGTCAGAAAATGCGAATACCTCTTGCATCCCCACAGCGCATCTTTGTAGGAATGTGTATCTGCTCAACTGTATGAAGCTTAAAATTTGTTTTGAAGCTTATAAATTTGTTTTGTTTGCAAATCCTTTATTTATGCACTGAGCTGTAATTTATGTAATGTTTTTCTGATGCCTGATTTCAGCTTCAAGTTAATGAGTATGAATATATTCTTTCCAGAAAGTGAAAGTAGAATATATTATAATTTTGTGTAACCGGGACCTCGACTTTCACCAAGAACAAAACTATTTTTTCAATAAGATCCTCACTGTTAAAGAGTTGGGCTACAGGTCTTCTTGGCTGCAGCTTTTGTTTCGCTGAAGTGAATTCTGGCAGTGGTAACTGCATTTGTGACATTGGATAAGAGTATGAAAATGGGTAAGAAAAATAATTGTCCATTACATACTCTCAGTAATCTTTGAAGGCATTTCTCTTTTACACATCAGGGTACATAAAGGGTACTTTACCACCTTTCCCTTGCTTCTTGTGGAGAATCTTTGTAGGTAGGTCAATTTTTAATAGATTAAATTTGGACTGAAAATTTTTTCCAATCTTTATTATCATAGGAATCGATGTCTAATTTTTATAGCAGAATTAAAGTGCTAAAAATAGAATTCAAATGCTTGGGAGGAATTCTTCTTAATTTCTTACCTTTGTTGTATATTGGGTAGAATAAACCTTGTTGTAATTAGGCATGCTGATATGCATATTTAAAAAATACCCTACAATATGAGGAACATAGTGGAAAAACTGGATACACCTGTCCAGGCAACTAAGTGAAAAAAAAGAGGAAAAAAAAGTGTAAAATTGATAGTTTCAGGCCTTTGGCAAGATCTAAAAATGTTCCCTTACATGATGTCTCTTCCACAAAACAAATGTTTAAAAATATATGGAAAAGTTATGGAAACTTCCATGCCCAAAGCCTTCCTCCTGTAATCAGCAATGTCAATAGTCTCTGGCCTTTATAAAGACAGGTAATCAGTCCCACTAAGCTCCAGCAAATACACAGGCTCCCAATAGTTTTTAGTTGTAAAATAGCTTTACGATATCTTTACAGAAATGTAAATTCACTTTCTAGCATATTTAAAAAGATGTTTTGCACTCTGCCAACATGGTCTGCCGAGTCACAATAGATATTTGTAGAGACATACATAAACTACACACAGAATTAAAGAAAATAGGAGTAGAAGGGACCTCAAGAGGTCACTGATATGTGGAGGAGCAGATTCGCTTTAATGTTTCTCTTAAAGAATTGTTTTAGCTCAGTACCTTGCATGGAATGCTCTTTGTATTATTTAATCACAGTCACAGCAAAGCCTAAGCACATTACCTGACAAAATTGTAACCTGACAGTATTTTGTTCATGCCTTTTATTGTTTACCTGTTCTGTTTGGGAAATTAAAAAGTTTGCCAAGCGTCATAAGAACTACCATTTAGAATTACCTGGCAAACACTTGGCAATAAGGTTTGATCATGTTCTGTTATTGTATTGTTATTATCAGTGTATGTATTCATCAAGATTTTTTAAAAATGTCATGTTTGTAAGACGATGGAAGAGAGAAAAATTAAAAATCAGGCTTCAGGATTTTGTTTAGAATATTAAAATAGGATTTGGGGAGGCAGGGCACTGAGTTTGGTTTTGGTAATCTTTATTTGCCTATGACGAATGTCCTGCTGAGCTATTGACATCATTTGAAACCAGGACAAATTTGGAAGATAAATATCAATCTGAAAGGCAAGAGCAAAGATGCCAAAGGATTGTACTGAAAAATCACATAATCATGTGGCTAGCTGTATCATGTCCTTCTAAAGAAAGGCATTTTGCAAGTAGCTTAGGAGCATGTTTTTGTGGTGCGGAGACTAGTACTTTTGTCCAAGTTCAAAGCACACTATGAAATTAAGAAAATAATAGTTATCTTGTTTCTCAGGTAGAAAAACAGAAACACAGCCAGTTAGAGACATTAAAATCTCAATGGAAGACATTCACATTGTGTTTATATATGGCAAAAATGACATTTTGATCACTCAGTCTGGCTTGAACTGCAGGAGAGAAAATAACGTGTCCTTATTTTGTGTGAGAAGAATGTCTGGTTGTTGATTCAGTCATGCCTAGTTTCTTTAGAAACCTACCTAAACGTTTTACCATAAGACCTTTACAAACCAGGGGTGATCTGCTTTCCTGTGGAGTTGAATCTGAATGTACATTTTACTATTTCTGCTGTGGAAATGGTAAAAAGGGAGTATGTCCCCCAAATGAAACACCTTTCTTCCCTGTATAATTGATAGGAAAAAAAAGTAGTTTACTCCAAAGACCCCAGAAGGAAATCTTGGCTGTCTAGTAAAGAAGTCTGAACTTAATCAGGAAGGATCTCCTTTTGAGGACCTTGAAAGATACTTATTTCCCATTAACTATATGACG